GGGGGTGAGTGTGAACTTGTCACTGATAAAATGCATTCTTAAAGTGATCCACATATTTAAGATGCAGTCTTAACATGATTTTTAGGGGCAATATGATAGTTACACTCCTCTCTGCAGTGCAGTACGAGGAAGGGATAGCCAGGTGGCCCTCTTACCTGGGTCCTACTGGGCGCCAAGTTTCCTTGCGTACCTGCTTCTACAGAGCCACTCTTCTACAGAGCCGCATCACTGAACGCTCTCAGCCAATGAAGTGTAAAATATGCATTGAATTGACATTAGCCAGCCCCAAACTTTTGTTCTGGCTGATGATGTACTTATGATGCTGCTAAAGGTGAAGTTATACCCCCAACAGCTCAATCTCTGTATGTACAGTGTTTCATAGTGAAACAACAGAATTCTTTAAACACCAGATTTTGTTCGAATGGAATGGCAATTCTCATGTTTACTAAAGCTATTTCCGATTGGAATTTGATCAGCCGGACTGAATTTGCACTAATCACACACATGCATGAGCCGAAACTTCATGAAGGGTGGAACAAGTCTGAGGCTTTATTGATACAGGTTTCCTTATATACAATTCCTCAGGCCAGAGGCACAAGCCCTGGACCTGATGGAACACCGCATTCTCAACTGTACAGACCAATAAGAACAAACATACAGTCTGTGACACTCCCATGTACAGCATTCAATCCCTCCCTTCTGCCTGGGGTATAATTAAAGTAGCTAATAGAATAACCTAAATATCCCCAGGCAGAAAAACACATATTTTCCCCAAAGTACAGAAAACATCCCAAAACATCCTAATAAATATTACATCCCTTTCTGGGTGAACAACATATCCAAAAATCACGCAAATCAGAGCAGGGGTTCACGAAATTCCTGGAAGTCTCTTTTGACCAACCACAAGCATGGCTTCATGCCCAAAACAGTTCCAGAGAATTAAGCTGTGCAGCTGGTCTATTTTCAATGTTAAAAGTGCACTATAGTACAAGGAAGGGTGTGGTCAGACAATAGGAAGGGCTGATGGGAGATTGAGGAGGGACAAAGCAGCCAGTTTAAACTGGTTTCGTAGTGTCCCTGGGACAACGCCCTGCTGGGGAAACAATGGGACAGGAAAAAGAGGGGGAGAGGAAGAGGCACATTTTCCCATGGAACTCACTTTCTAACATGTCTTTTTGCAGGACCCATAGTCTTTGGGCATTAGCCTTCTCCAAAAACCAGTGGTGAAATTGCTTGCGTCACACATCTTGACGGTCAGTTCCTGAGTTAGTCAAGTAGCCCACCCACCACAAACAATAACTGGACCTGGTGACTCCTGCCGTCTGTCTCAGTCCCAAAGCCAGCGTTACAGCCGCATGATGGGGGAAGTTGTTAGTTCCTGGATCAAGGACCAGGAGAGGACAGAGGCTAAATGCGCTCTGCCCGGTTTCCAGTACTTCTGCTGTGATGGCCTGCAGGTATTCAGGCCCTGTGCAAAGGGAAAGGGGAGGGCAGAGGCCAGCAGTACTCTGCCCTAATGCAAGCGCTTCTGCTGGAAGGGGGTCAATGGGTATGGTAGTCCCATCCACTAACCACAGGGCCCGGCTGGAACTTGGCTGTGGACGGGAGACATTGCTTACCTCCTCCTCCTAGTATTCCTGCCAGGGTAGTTGTGAATCTGGACAGGCTGTCCAGCATCCCTGTAGGCCTGGTGTAGAGACCATGATCCCATCTGCACCATCAGGGATAGGAGGGCCTCCCCTCTCTAGCTGGGGAGAGAGGCTGGCTGCCTCCTCTCCCTGCAATTAGCACTGCCGCTGGGGAGAGAGACCAGTTGTCTCCTCTCCCTGAAACTCACTCTGCCACTGGGGATAGAGACCAGTTGTCTCCTCTCCCTGAAACTCACCCTGCCGCTGGGGAGAGAGGCCGGCTGCCTCCTCTCCCTGCAACTTGCACTGCCGCTGGGGAGAGAGACCGGTTGTCTCCTCTCCCTGAAAATCACTCTGCCACTGGGGAGTGAGTCCAGTTTTCTCCTTTCCCTGTAAGATGCACGGCCACTGGGGAGAGAGACTGGTTGTCTCCTCTCCCTGTGAGATGCACTGCCACTGAGGAGAGAGACCGGTGGTCTCCTCTCCCTGTGAGATGCACTGTTGCTGGGTAGAGAGACCGGTTGTCTCCCCTCCCTCTGAGATGCACTGTTGCTGGGGGGAGAGACAGGTTGTCTCCTCTCCCTGGGAGATGCACTGCCGCTGGGGAGAGAGACCGGTTGTCTCCTCTCTCTGTAATACTGTCTGCCGCTGAGGAGAGAGACCGGTTGTCTGTTCTCCCTGTATGGTACACTGCCACTGTGGAGTAGGACCGACTGTCCCGACTCCTGGTAATTCACCCTGCCGTTGGGGAGAGAGACCGACCGTCTCCTCTCCCGGTAGCTCTGGCTGTAGCTGGGAATCTGGGCCGGCTGCTCAGCATCCCTGTAGGGCCGGTGGAGAGACCTTGGTCACATCTCTACCTGCCATCTAGAGGTCATTCCAGAACTAGTCGATGAGGTCCCCCACTTCGGTAGCTGGCAGGAAAGCAGGGGGTACCTCAGCCAGGTCTTCCCAGCTGTAGGGTGGTAGGTCTGGTTCTGCTTGTCGGGTAGATTGGGGCTGCACGAAGCTGAGTTGGTAGTCCTGCTCCAGCTCCCACTCCCTTGTTACCAGGTGGTCATGTCCTTGCTCACCTTGCAGTCGTCAGCCCACACATACATGCCCACACGGTAGTCATAGATGTCCCAAAATCTAGACTCCTCCGTGCTGCTGAGATCAATGTCCTCCTCCAAGGCATCCCATAGTAACCCAGGGCCATCATAATCATCACCTTTGGGTAAGTTTTGCTCGGCCATCCAGGTGGTATGTTGAACAGTATGCCACCATAGGGCTTGGTATGCGTTGTCTAGCCAAATCTCTCGCCATACCAGGGTCTCTAGTCTTGCCACCCACTCATACAGGGGCTGCTCTCCCAATCCGCATCGCCACACGCTTCTGTAGCCGCCGCTCATCATTGGGGAGACTCTCACCTTGCTGCCGCTGGGCATCTTCCAGGGCATCATACCAGGCTTCCTTCCTGTCTGCGTCGTTGTAGTCCGCGTCCGCCTCCTCTTCCTCGTCCTAAAATACTGTCCGAAAACTAACCAATTCCATACTGCTGTAGCCAGGGGTGCTGTACAGATACTAGCGTTGCCCTCAGTTAGACTTCATACTATGCTGGTGTCTCCGAGCTGCTTCACCTCACACTAGGACGCCATCCCACGGCTGCCATCACTGTAATGGATTGCCTGGCACCCTGACTGGGTACCTCCATTGACGGAAGAGAGCAGGAACAGGAACAAGCTCTTATAAGAGCTCAGTGATTATACTCTGGGGAGTATAGTTATTATAGCAATCCCCAGAGTGTAGGTAGTTCTCCAATCCCCCAAACATGAACCGAAACTTCATGAAGGGTGGAACAAGTCTGAGGCTTTATTGATACAGGTTTTCTTATAAACAGTTCCTCAGGCCAGAGGCACACCCCCTGGACCTAATGGAACACCGCATTCCCAACTGTACAGACCAATAAGTACAAACGTACAGTCTGTGACACTCCTATGTACAGCAAACAATCCCTCCCCTCTGCCTGGGGTATAATTTAAGTAGCTAATAGAATAACCTAATTATCCCCAGGCAGAAAAAGACGCATTTTTCCCAAAGTACAGAAAACACTTTAAAACATAACATATCCCCATTACATCCCCAGATAGCCCTCATCTTGGTGAACAACATATCCAAAAATCACCCAGATCAGAGCATGGGTTCAGGAAATTCCTGGAAGTCTCTTTTGACCGACCACAAGCATGGCTTCATGCCCAAAACAGTTCCAGAGAATTAGGCTGTGCGGCCGGTCTATTTTCAATGTTAAAAGTGCACTATAGTACAAGGAAGGGTGAGGTCAGACAATAGCAAGGGCTGTTGGGAGACCGAGGAGGGACAAAGCAGCCAATTTAAACTGGTCTGGCAGTTTCCCTGGGACAACGCCCTGCTGGGGAAACAATAGGACAGGAAAAAGGGGAAGGGGAAGAGGCACATTTTCCCATGGAAGTCACTTTTTAACATGTCTTTGCAGGGCCGATTAGTCCTCTCCAAAAACCAGTGGCGAAATTTTTTTTTTCGTCACATACCCTACACAACGTGTAGGACTCTTAATATGTACAAAGCACCGGTTTTAAAATGAAAAGAGAACAAATGCATTCAGCAGGATGTACATTTGCAATTAATCATTCACTTGCTTAAATTTTATGTACTATTTGCTCACTTGCAGTACTAGCAGCCAGCTGGCAAATAGTTACAAAAACTCTTGACAGTGTGAGGACTATCCGTGTCACCGTGTGGCAGCTAGCTAGCTGCCACATTTAAAAAAAAGCAAAACAAAAAAAAACACAAATTGCAGTCAGTATGAGTATAAAGGAGGTTTAAAACCTCCATTGGGCCACTTGAAATGCATTTATATGTATTGAATTATATCTGCCAGGTTTTTGCCCAGTCCCCCAATGTATCTAAATCCCTCTGTAGAAATCCCTCTCTTGTGTCTAACATTCCAGAGCTCAAAACCTTTGTTGGGTGTTTAAATTAACATTTTTTTTTAATATTAGGTTTGTGTGAAATATCTCCACGAAAAGTGTGACCAAGATAAGTGCAATTGGCTTCATATGTGCGGCTACTTCATGCGTGGGGAATGTTATCGGCGTACATGCTACAAATCCCACAACCTACTAGAGGAGAGCACCAATCTTCTCATCAAAAGCTTTGGAATCCCTGCTGTATCTGTTGAGAATTTCCAGATGCTCGCAGTTCTTAAAAACATTCAGCTTCTACAAACTCAGGGTGAGCAAACCGGAAGAGGAAGGGGCAGAGGTGCATCCAGCAGTAGAGGAGGAGGCAGAGGAAGAAAACATGTACACATTCACAAAGGTATGATCAAGTAAATCGCTTTGTATATATTTTTTTTCAATTTGTATTTTATCGAGTTTCTTCAAATTTAACCATGACATAGTTACATGACTGTGGATGATTAGAAGAGCATCGCAAGTTGCAGCTTGCTGTCAAATACAACGTAGAACTTAACTTGCTTTACGTACATTAATAGTATACATACTCCAGTCAGTGAGGTTTGATAGTACATTGCAGTGATAAAGACCACAGAAAAAAAAAGAAAATGAAAACTATAAAACCATAAAACAGTATGACTAAATATCATGAAGGCATTTATGCGTGGCAACACGAATAGAATTATTCTCTCACTCAGTAGAGCACACCCGTGTGGATCCGGGCAGACAGGGTTCAAGGACAGTCGAATAGCTTGTGCGGGGGGCAAGTCAACGTCACACAGTTTGGTCCATAGAAAAAGGTAAAGGCCATGAGGAGGGACCGGCAGGAATATCTATATATTGCCCTGTTGTGATAGCAATACCCAAGGTGCCCATGTTGTCTGGAATTTTGAGGTCTGAGAGGGTGAGTGCAGGGACATCTTCTCATAGATGTAAAATTGCTGTAGTTTGTCTCTAAGTTGTGTTAGTGGTGGGCAGTGTGGCTTTTTCCACTTGTACGCTATTAAGTTCCTAATGGCCAGCGAGACCAGTGCTATTAGTTGGTGGTGGATAGGGTTGATATTAGCATTGGGTAACAAAAGAAGGCATGAGGAGATCGATGGAGTAAAATTGTTGATCCCTAGTTGCCCTAAGAGTGCATGGATGTCCTCCCACAGCGGTCGGATCCCACTACATGTCCACCAAATGTGAAGTAAAGTACCCTCCTACACCCCTCATCTCCAGAACTTGGGGGAAACTGTCGGGTATATTATGTGTAGTTTATGTGGCATTAAGTACCATCGATATAGGAGCTTCTTATGGGCCTCTATATGCGACTAGCATTTCGTCCATTTGGACAGGCCATTGAGCGCCCTTAGCCATTCCATGTCTGTGAGGTCTGTGCCACTGTCAGTTTCCCACTGGGTCTTGCACAGCAGCGGCTTGTTGGGTTGCATTTCCAACCAAGCTCTGTAGCAGAGGGAGAGGGCCTTTGGCTTGGTTGGGTGCTTTGTATATTTTAAAGTAAGCTCAAAATAGTTTGAAATATTGTTATATGAAAATAAATGCTGCAAAAATCTATTCATCTTACTGACACTTAAGGAATCGCTCTAACTTTAAAAACATCTACTTTTAGTGTTAGAGCATTCTTCTATCTATACATATCAATGTGTTACATTGCCAGGAAAAAGGGACATCATCTCTGAATCTCTCTAAACATATTCTGTGAACAGGGACAGATTTACATGTTGAGTGCCTATAGACACAAATTCTAAGCGCCCCCTGCTTCTCCCTCAAAAAAGGCAGATAAAATTAGTTTAGTTATTGTATCTAAAAACATATATTGATATCTGACAACGTATGTATTTCAGCTTGTTTTTTATTATGTTTTAATCTGTAAATATAGTGAATGTATGCAACTGTGTAAATGCATGCAAGGTTAAACATAAAGGATTCCCCTGGGCAGATGGTGAAGGGGAACATGACTGCTGTCCATGGTTAGGGGGCTAAGATACAGGTGAAACATCGTAACAGGTAGAGAGAAGGCTTAAAAGGGGTTGATGGGGATAGGATGGGACTCATCAGTCCACGAAGTGGTGTTACATGAGCCTAGCTTTTTACCCGACTGTTGAATGGCCTCGTGGGCTATGAAGAAGAAAAAAGAAAGTGAATATAATAGTAATTTAAGTGGAAGAGAGATAGTTTTGGCTAGCTCAGTGACATGGCAGTAGTGTCTCAAAGTTGTGCAGATGGACAACCTGCAGGCTTAGCAATAGTCGAATGGGTCAGGGTCCTTGGCGTAAGTTCTCCTGTCTATCACCTACTCCAGTGAGATGAGGAGGTGGGATGACGCAAGGCTGGGTTCTTGATTTTGTTTGCTCATTCTGATGCTATGGAGTTTTCTGACAATTTGCGCTCAGTTCGAGGGAAAGGAATCTCTTTTGGAAGAGAAATTGGCCACAGAAACTTCTCTCAGGAGGATGGCAGGCCCTTTCCTCCTTTTGCAAATCTGCATGTTTAACTGTTGGTATTAGTAGACAGGATAATCGCATCATTTGAATCAGACCTGGGCATTAGAACCGCTTCAGGAGGCTGGAGCTGGCACGTTGCTAGCCAAATCAGACATTGAGTTAGCTCTCCGGGTTCTGTTGGTGCATCCTGAATGTTTTAAATTTATTAGGATGACAACTTGAAGGGCTATTTAACTATGAGATATGCTTCCCCATGGACTGTGCCATGTCCTGTTCATATGTTGAGATGTTATCTTGGTTTTTAAAGTGGCTGATGGCTTTGGTGTTGGGAAAGTCCTCCTTGACACATTGCAATGGTGATGTTTTGTTTGTGCGCCCAGCCATGTCACCTGTTTGCGAGGGCTTATTGCAGGCTTTTTTTTTTCGGATTTCCTTTGTGGAGCAGAAGGGCCATCAGTTGTCTTTCGTTTCTTGGTGTTGAAATTAATTTGGTGCAAATGTTTTTTCGTCTGCTAGAGGACAAGCTGTCTGTTCTCCTTCTGCTCATGGATTAGGTTAAATGCACCACAAAGGTCCAATTGCAGGTCTTGTTGGGGTATTTGGCTTTCACTTGAGAGTTTTGCCCACCTTATTCATAATCTATCTTTTTTGGAATTATTCTTTATTGTCGTGTCTCAAGAGGTTTGTAACGAGGACCTTTGTTATCGAACTGTTGTGTTTCACACAGACAACATGAGTGTTGTCCATGTGATTAACCAGGCTATGTATGCTTGCCTTCTGGCTTTGGCATTACTTAGGCTTTTCGTTTTGCTTCGTCTGGAGTACAATATCTGGATAAAAGCTTGTCTTGTCCTTTGATCACTGAATGTTATTGCTGACTCTCCCTCTCACGTTCAATGGGACCATCTTTGTCAGTTGGCTCCAGAAGGAACGGCAATGCTCAGCATCCTTATGGCATCTCGTTTTGGAGGTTTGATGGGATTGTTTATGGATTCTTTGTCTTCTACTTTCTGGCAGGCTTACAGGTAGATCTGGTTGCACTAGTTCCTGTTGGTGTCAGGACTGCCGTAGGACTTACCTCTCTGGTGTGCTTGCGCACAGCTTGCCTTTGTGTCCCAAATTCAGAATTCGCCGAATCAGATTCTGCCCACAAATATGACATCAGAGGTCAAATAACAAGGGTCAATTACCGTCCATGATTAATACATAATTCCAAGCTGACCTGGAGCAACGAGTTAAGACCTGCCTATTTATACTTTCCTCTCCCATTCCTTGTTGCCCTGTTGTGTTCCTGGTTAGCCCAATAGCATGTTACTGTAATTGTTCTATTCTGAATTTTTTTCTGGTTCTGTTTTATTATTGTTCCTGTTTTCTGTAATTATTTGACCTCATCTTGTTTAACATTTATCCTGATTTCTGCAGATTGCTTGGATTTTCTGATACTGCATTACGGCATTTGGGTAGATGGCAATTGGTGTTTTTGGCTGTATGTGCTTCATCATCTTGTATAAAAAAAAAAATTTTCATAGCATCTGTCCCCGTTATGTCTGGATCTTAGGGCAGTTGTATGTATATTGGGTGGCACACCGTGCTGAGGAAAAAACATATATACACAATTTTATAACATGACAGGAAGCTTCGTATTTGCTTAGTCTCTCTTTACTAGAACTCCACAGCAGCAGAGAAAAACAACCAATCAGAAAAAAGTTAGGTACTATAAAACCCCCTTTCCATTGCATCATTCTCTTTCTTTGCTGCTCCGCAGTCAGTACAGGTCAGAGTACCACTGCCTCCTGCTTATAGTGGGTGGCTTAGGGATTTAGTATGATTTATTTATGATTTTTATTACTTATGCTTGGCTGTGAGATTTATGTGCCTTTTTGGCTCTTTTCTTTCTTTGCTTCCCCTGTTTTTCTTTGGGGAATTTTTCCTTTACATTGTGTTGGTTTTAGCTTTTTTTATCCTGGGGATCCTATCTGTTTTCTTCCCCTTTGATTTCACCCTCCCCCGCAACCCCTCTCTCTAGCACGTTTCTGCTACTTATTCCGCCCTTTCTAACCGGGCTTCATGTGCTTCCCTCGGGGTATCAGGAGACTAGCCGTCTGGCTGCCTCTTCTGATTCCCCGAGCTCCTTGGTGAGTTTACCGGCATCCGGGGTGCTCGCGGGTTGCGAGTACCCGGCGGATGGATCCGCTGGCGCACATGGCCACCTCACCGCCTCCTTCTGAGAGCCACGGGCGTCCGACCGGTGGAGGAGGGTGCACCTGCTCACGGTCTCGGCTATTGTTGCTTTGCCGGATTGCTCCGGCTGCTTTCATCGTGTTCTCCATATTTGCTCAGATATGTCAGTTAGGATCTAACTACTCAGACTACTATGAGTTTCCATGTGTATATATATCACAGACTACTGTGAGTTTCCATGTGTATATATAATAACAGATTACTGTTAGTTCCCATGTATATATATCACAGATTACTGTGAGTTTCCATGTGTAGATATATCACAGATTACTGTGAATTTCCATATCTATACATCACAAATTACTGTGAATTTCCATGAAGATATGTCACAGATTACTGTGAATTTCCATGTAAATATGTCACAGATTACTGTGAGTTTCCATGTATATATATCACAGATTAGTGTGAGGTTCCATGTGTATGTATATCACAGGTTACTGTGAGTTTCCATGTATATATATATCACAGATTACTGTGAGTGTCCATGTATTTATATCACAGATTACTGTGAGTGTCCATGTATTTATATCACAGATTACTGTGAGTGTCCATGTATTTATATCACAGATTACTGTGTTTCCATGTATTTATATCGCAGATTACTGTGAGTTTCCATGTGTATATATATCGCAGATTACTGTGAGTTTCCATGTGTATATATATCACAGATTACTGTGAGTTTCCATG